AGTGTGGCGCTCCTTCAGTACTGACCCTCTGATAGTGCGGCGCTCCCTCAGTACTGACCCTCTGATAGTGCGGCGCTTCTTCAGTACTGACCCTCTGATAGTGCGGCACTCCCTCAGCACTGACCCTCCAACAACTCCCTCAGTACTGACCCTCCAACAAGCCATATATTAAGGAGCCTTTAAGTCAAAGGATCAAAGAAGTGGGTTTTAATTCATGTCTTAAAGGAGGAAAGTGAGGCATTGACGTTTAGGGAGGGAATTCCAGAGCTTGAGTCCTTCGCAGCTGAGGGCACGCCTGGCAGTAGTGAAATGATTAAAATTGTTTGATTAAAATCAGATGCACAAGAGGTGAACTATCCTTTTTGCTCATTGTTGTTTTGTCAGATTTATCTGTAAAAGTACTTGGGACATTTTACTATGTTAAAGGTGCTGTATAAATGCAAGTTGTTGTGTTCTGCAGTATGGGAGGTGAGTCACTTGTAAGTTTTGGGCTGAGTCACTGTTCCAGGTGACTTCAATCTGACCTGAATCCTGGACAAAGGGTTAATGTGTGGAGTACCCCTTGGAGCATGTTCAGGCTATATTTGTGTTTTTCAAGAAAACCCAAAGTGTCTGCCAGGAACAGAGAGTTAATGATGTGCAGACAGCTCAGGCATGCACTCCGGCGTCAGAATGCTGTGTGATTCCTTTTCTGTCCCAGTAATGGTAACTATGCTGAGGGGACAACATGGAAACCAGGAGAAAAAACAAGGGTCAGACCACTGCTCACTTTCTCAAAAGACGAATCATACGCAGTCTCCCGTAACCCCATAGCCCCAGCCTGTAACCTCTCCCCAACCTTCCATTCTGTTCCACTTGCTTCTCCCCATCTCTTTTAAGCGATAAAATCCATCACATTTTCACTTTCTGTCAATTCTGAACAAAAGTCGTGTTGTACTTGAAACGTTAACTCTCTTTCTGTCTCTCTACAGATGCTGCTAGACCCACTGAGTTTCTCCAGCACTTTCTGTTTTTGTTGCAGATTTTCAGCATGTTCAGTAGAGAGGAAAGCCTCTTATATATTGCTGAGCTCTGTGTCTTCTGCTGGTCTCAGTCCTGCCCTGCATTCTGATGCACACTCAGCGTGTCATGAGCTGCCCCTTAACCTCCAAATGGTTCCCAGTGTCCATCATGGACTTTGTCCGTGGAACAGCAGATAGGAATGCACCACAGGGGTCTCTCAGCCAGACCCCAACTGGCCAACGCTGTTTTGAGGTCATTCAGGTTTACACTGATGGGCCTGCATTTTGTGCAGAAACAAATTTTTTAGATTTTAAAATTACTTTTGTTTAATCCTGCTTGTTTTTAATTAAATGCAAACCTCTCTCATCTTGCTCCAATCTTTTGGGTATTGCTCATGTAATTATTCTATTCTATTTAAAAGTTACAGCCATTAAATTGTATTTGTAGAGTTGTGCTGTACCAGAGGCGTCTGAGTGTTACATGATGCTTTTTAAGGAAATGGCACAGTAGATTACAGTGTAACACATAATCCTCAGGTCGATTACTTGCTGGTGTGAATGCCGCTGACATGAATTTTCATAGTGGAACATTAAATCCAGTTGTCCTCCTATTACTTACCGCCACACGTCAGAGCCAAAAGGGTCGACCCTGCAAAATAGAAATGGAGAAGACAAAAGGCATTGACACAAACTTCGCACCAAGACACCGGAGATTCAAAGGGAGACCTGTTACTGACATTGACGCAGTGGGCTGCAATCTGATCTTTCATATAGATGTAGGCTTGATTTTCATCACAACCTATGTGAAATGAATTTTATGAAATGATACAGCCACTTCACATTCTTGACTAGTGAACCCTGATGGACTATGGGCACATGTAAACATTCAGGCAAAATTCAGACTAAGCTGTCCTTGACTTACTCTGTAACTCACCCTGTGCTGTACTTGCCTTGAGAGTGTTTGATGGGTACAATATAGAAGGAGCTTCGCTTTCTGTTTACTTTCAGTTTAAAAGAGTAGAGGAAGCTTTATTCTGTGTCTAACCCGGTGCTGTTCATGTACTGGGTGTGTTTGATGGGGATTGTGTTGAAGAAACCAAATTTTCCATTTCCCTTTGGTTTTAAATGAGCAGAGAGAGTTTTACGTTGTATCTAATCCTATGCTGTCCCTGACCTGGGATTGTTTGATGGGGACAGTGTAGAGGAAGCTTTACCCTGTATCTAACCCCATTTTTCTCTCTGTCCTGAAAGTGTTTGATGGGGACTGTGTCAAGGGAGTTTTACTTGCTGTTTATTTTTAGTTTAAAGGAGTAGAGGAGCTTGATTTTGTGTGAAAGAGTAGAGGTAGTTTTACTCCGTATCTAACCCTGTACTTTCCCTGTTGTGGGAGTGTTTGATGGGGACAGTGTGGAGAGAGCTTTATTTTCATTTAAAAGATTAGAGAGACCTTTCCTTTCAGTTTAAAATGTAGAGAGAGCTTTACACTGTCCAAGAATATGCACTATACCTGTTATGGGAGTATTTGATGGGGACAATGTCAATGGAACAATGGTGTACATCTACTCTGCATTCTATTTATCCAGAGAGCATTTAACAGTTACACAACAGATACCAAAAACACAAAGGTTTCCCTGCACTGACATCCCAAACCTCCAATATAAATATCCTCCCAAATTCTGCAGTTTCACGTCAGAGAGAAAAATAACCTGTCTGATGCCATAAGTAAGCCTCAAGCATCATTGTCAAGGCCCTTCCTCCCCACCAGGCATGTGATAAAACAGAGTAAAAACTTAAGGCCAGTAAAAACCTGATCCTTCCGGGGGCTTCATCCCAAATGATGCTTTCTGAAAAACGAGAAAACAGACAGAGAGATAGAGGATGTAATGTGAGCAGCAGAAATCTGCTGCATAATCTAGCATGGTAATGGCAGTGTTGTGAGTGTCTCCTGGTTGTCAGGTCACTTTAACCTCACTAATGATTCTTCTCAGGTTCTTGTCACAGAATTATTATGGCACAGAAGGGGGTCACTCAGCCCATTGTATCTGCACCAGCTCTTCAAACGAGCATCATTACCATGTGCCCTTTCCCCAGACCCTTGTCACTTTCGCTGCCACTAAGAAGTGATATTTTCTCAGTTAAGACAATTAGCCAAAGAATCAGGGATGATGGGGTGACACGGTGGCTCAGTGGTTAGCACTGCTGCCTCACAGCATCAGTGACCCAGGTTTGATTCCAGCCTTGGGTGATTGTCTATGGTGGAGTCTGCATGTCCTCCCTATGTCTGCGTGGGTTTCCTTCGGGTGCTCCGGTTTCCTCCCACAGTCCAAAGATGTGCAGACTAGGTGGACAGGCCATGCTAAATTGCACGTAGTGTCCAGGGATGTGCAGGATGAGTGGGTTAGCCTTGGTAAATGCAGGGTTACTGGGATAGGGTAGGGCATGGGTCTGGTTGGAATGCTCTTTGGAGGGTCAGTGCAGACTTGATGGGCTGAAAGGCCTCTAACAGCACCGCTGTTAATGTGGAAATTGCTGCCTGAAGAATGGTGGGAACACAGAATTGTTAGAGCACAGTAGCTGGCTATTCATCCCGTTGTGTGGCATCAATGCATCTCGTGCCATTATTCACTTTCTCCCCATAACCCTGCACAATCTTCCTTTTTAGATAATGATCTAATTCTCTCTTGACTATCCGATTGAAGCTACCTCCACCACACTCACAGGTGATGCATTTCAGATCCTAACCACACTGTGATGACTGTGTGAGAACATTTCTCCATTTCTCCCTCTCTCTTTGTGGTCTCTTCAAATCCTGCAATCTTTCAAGGTGTCTGTGCTCCTCCAATTCTGGTTCTTGTACATCCCAGTTTTCTTGGCTTCACCACTAGCAGCAGAGCCTTTAGCCACCTGGGTCCTAACCTCTAGAATTCCCTCCAGGTAAAAGGGTTGTCGGGCTGAAGGAGGTTACAGAGTTAAATGTGGTAAAGGAGCAAGCTGAGGACATGCATGTAAAAATAAAATTGGGCAAAGTTAAATGTTTACGATGGTACCAGATACAGCACTCACTGCTTCTGGTGCTAGTTGTGAAGTCAGTTCCTCCAGCAGGCTATCAGTTTTGGCTAAGTTGCTTTAGTGCTTGTGCCTGTATTCAGGTTTTGACATTTAACAGTTTGTTTTTGAACCTTCCCATCAATGGGCTAATTCTACAAATATTACACAAGATCTTTCTATCGGTTGTCTTATTGTCAAGCTCAGCTTCTCAACATCCCTGTTTCCTGATTGCTGGTTAATTATGTTTTACACCGTATTTTAATTGTTTGTTCATATTCAACATTTCCTGGAGTAGTGCAGGACAAACCATCGCTCGAAATGACAAGGGTGGAAGTTGGTGAGGAGCTGGGAGGGGAATAAGTTCAATATTGCTCCCCCCGTTACTGAACTGCGAGGATATGGGGTGGGGAATATCAGGTTATGATCTCTTGCAACAGGAAAACAGAACCCTGTCTAGTGCCTAGTTAGAAGCTGGTGACTCGTAGGCCCCTGAACTTGTGTTTGAAACAGACATTAGACATTTGCATGTGCAAACTGGGGTCCTGAATGCAGCACCTTGCATTTATATAGTGGCACTCATGCTGCAAAACATCTTAAGTTGTTTTAGGAACCGCAATGAAACTAGTCAGCAATGGGAGCAGAACCCACACTGTACGCACAATCATGAGGTCCAAACCAGCACTCCTTTGAGCGAAGATAAGAGGTTGTTCACATGAAGCTAATAAAGCTTTCAAAGGGTTTAAGTACTAAGGAGTTTGCAGGGACAGAAGTTTATCCCTCTGCTCCCCCAATATATACAATCAGGCTGGCTGCAGATATGCAGCTCTCGGATTAAGTTCCCTGATAGAAATGTAATAATTTCAAGAAGATCTTGTGTTAAACTGGTGAAAAGATTTTCCTACTGCTGTCTTTTCCCATTGAGTTCTGATTACTTTGTCTTTCTCATGATAGGTCTGCCTTATGGATGGGAAGAAGCTTATACAGCAGACGGGATTAAATATTTTATCAAGTAAGTGCCTCAGAGAATGCACGTGGGCAAGCCGCAATGATCACAGTTTACAACAAGGGTCACCCTCTTAAGACAGAGATAAGAAGAATATTTTCTGAAGGTTGCGAGTCTTTGGAATTCACTTCCTCAAAAGGCAGTGGATACAGAACCTTAAAATATTTTAAATCAGAAGTAGGTAAATTCTTGATTACCATGGGGATGAAAGATTATTGAAGAAAGACAGGAATGTAGAGTTAAAGTTAAAATCAGATCAGCTGTGATCATATTGAATGGCAGAGCAGGGAGAGAAAAGAAAAAGGGAAGGAATAGAGAGGGGCGTGAGAAAGAGGGAGAAGTGAAGGAAGCAAGAGGTTATGAGGTAGAGGGAAGAATGTAGTTGCTGGTCCAACCGAGGACCTAGTCAGATTACAGAATATAGAGCAGAAGATCAAACTATTTAAAACAAATTATTGAAAGATGAAGGTGGGGAAATTGCAGATATTTACCTGCCAGGAATTGAGTAACCTTCCGTGAATGCACCTTCCCATTGGAAAGAATCATATGGCACAAAGGCCATTCAGCCCATTGTGCCTATGCTGGGTGTTTAGAAGTGGTATTCAATTAGCCTTGGCTTCCCTGCTCTTTCCTGATAGCTCTGAAATTGTCCTTTACAAATATTAATCCACTTCTCCTTTTGAAAGTTATTATTGAATCTGCTTCCATCAGGCTCTGCATTCCAGACTAACTCCCGTCCTGCTGTGTAAAAACAGTTCTCCCCATTGCCCCTCTGCTTTTGGTACCTATTATCCTAAATCTGAACACTGACTCTCTCTTTGCATTCTTTCAAAATATAAAATGTGGAAGTAATATTTTTTACATACTTGAACACAATAAGCAAAGTGGCTGAATGGATTTAGCTGAAATTCATAACAAAGCAATCCATAAAGTCCGCACTGACTGTTTCATTCGGGTTCAGAGGTCTTTCTGACTGTGTGTACACACAGAGTGGATCCTGGTGATTTCTCAAACTTTATTCCTAAAGCTCTTCCTATTCCACTTTGTAATCCCCCTCACCCCCAGTTAGATTCCTGATTAAAGGAGTAATACTGAGTTCCAGTCAGGGACTCAAGAGGACCCATCTGGACAGTGTGTGACTGGTAGAAGCTGCACCGATTACCAGGCTGAGTCCAGCGAGAGCCCTTCTTGTTTTGATTGTGTTACTGAACTGTCAGGAGCCAATTAGTTTACCATCTGGGCCAAAGGAAAGCCAAATCTGCGTGTCAGATGAGCTGCTAGAAGTTGCATCAGGTTACGGTGAGGCGGGTACCATGTGAGCAAGGTGTCAGCAGCTGCATGCAGTTCCTAAAACCGGGTTCAAGGACAGTCCTCCCGATTTAATAACTGACTAATTCAATGTTGGAACTATTAGGAACTGACAACTGAGATCCAGTCCTGATCATAGGCTTTTGACCAATGCAACTAAATACACTTTAAATGCAGGGGGACAGGCATAATTTAAACTGCAAGTGTATGCTGTAGTCCATCATGCACAGCCATGGCTTTGTGAGTAACACTCTCACCTCTGTCAGTAGGTTGTGGGTATGAATCTCAATGCAGAGTTCTTAACATAGAAATCCAGGCTGACACTCCACATGTCAGCACTTGAGCGAATGCTACACTGACAGAGGTACCCTGTTTCAAATGTGTGGCTACCCTCTGAGCTGGATGTGGAAGATTCCGTGGCAGACATTTTTCAAGGGCAGCAGTGAGAATTTTAGGCTCGCAATAGTTGCATCTAATTCACATCCACAAAACAAAGTATTTTAATGGCAACCAAAATGCTAAAACAGCATAGCCTGTCAATGTGCAATGGGCCAAAAATATAAATCAGTTAGGATATTGAGGTCTTGGAGAGGGTACAGAAAAGATGTACCAGAGACAAGGGAGCATACTTTTGTGTGGTCAGGGATGTGGATTTCTCTAGCTAATCCAGCATTTATTGTCAATCCCTAATTACCCAGAGGGCAATTAAGAGTCAACCACATTGCTGTGAGTCTGGAGTCACATGGAAGCCAGACCAGGTAAGGATAGCAGTTTCTTTTCCAATAACAGCATTAGTGAACCAGATGGGTTTTTCCAACAATAGTTTCATGATCATCATTAGACTTTTAATTCTACATTTTTGTTGGATTCAACCATCTGCCATGGTAGGATTTGAACCCAGTTCCCCAGAACAGTACCTGGGTTCCTGGATTATATGCTAGTGATAATACCACTGAGCCATAGCCTCCCTTTTAACATTATTCAGGGTGTTTATCGAGTGGATAAGGAGAAACTGTTTCCAGTGGATAGGTTGGGGAGGGGTGTGGCTAATCAAGGGATTAAGGGTAATTGGCAACAAAAAAAAACAAGATGGCTGATGAGGAGAAATATATTTACACAGCTAGTTGAGGTCTGGCATGTCCTATCTGAAAATGCGGTGGAAGCAGATTCAGCAGGAACGTTTAAGTAAGAATTAAGTAAATATTCAAAAAGCAAAATTTGCAGAATTTAGGGGACTTGGTGTGAAGAAATCCAATTTTCCAGCTGTTTTAAAGAGTTAACACAGGCACAATAGGCTGTCCCTGTACTGTATGTTACTATTAGTTTGATTACTCTCCCTTCACCTTTAGTGCCAGTGCACCACTGTTCCCACACAGTGTCATGGTGTCAACCTAACACCAGAGAATCCCAGATAACAAGGTGTAGAGCTGGATGAACACAGCAGGCAAAGCAGCATCAGAGGAGCAGGAAGGCTGACGTTTCAGGCCTAGACCCTTACCTTCCCCTTCCCACTTACAAATTGGCAGTATAACTTTGTGTCCTACCACAAACCACAGTTGGCGCATTCTGAATCTGGATATGGCTGATTGCCTTTCTGAATAATTGTCACTGGTGGTTGAGCCTGTGATGTCAAACCTCATATTTACAATGCTTGTACGCAGAACTTTAACCTTTTGTATGTTTGTTGGTAAAAGAATGAGGTAACCCAGAGAATGTGTGTTTTTAATTGTAATCCATCGTGTACTCCTTCAATTAATGATGGTAGATGTGGTTAAGTATTTGGTTTCTCCTGCTATTATTGCTGCATTTGGTTAAAACTGTATCATAGGGTCAGAGAGATGTGCATGGAAACAGACCCTTTGGTCCAACTCGTCCATGCCACCAGATATCCTAAATTAATCTACTCTCATTTGACAGCATTTGGTCCATACCCCTCTAAACCCTTCCCATTCACGTACCCATCCAGATGCCTTTTAAATGTTGTAATTGTACCAGCCTCCACCACTTCCTCTGGCAGCTCGTTCTATGCATGCACCACCCTTTGTGTGAAAAAGTTGCCCCTTAGGTCCCTGTTATATCTTTCTCCTCTCACCTTAAACCTATGCCCTCAAGTTTTGGACTCCCCTAGCCTGGGGAAAAGAGCTTAACTATTCACCCTATCCATGCTCCTCATGATTTTATAAACCTGTGCAAGGTCACCCCTCAGCCTCCGACCCTGCAGGGAAAATAGCCCCAGCCTATTCAGCCTCTCCCTGTAGCTGAAACCCTCCAACACTGGCGACATCCTTGTAAATCTTTTCTGAAACCTTTCAAATTTAACAACATCCTTCCTTTAGAAAAGAATTGAACTAGAATTGACTAGAATTGAATGCAGTATTCCAAAATTGGCCTAACCAATGTCCTGTACAGCCACCACATGACCTCCCAACTCCTAAACTCAATGCACTGACCAATAAAGGGCAAGGAGAGGCAATGGCCTAGTGGTATTATTGCTGGACTGTTAATCCAGAGACCCAGATAACATTTTGGGGGCCTGGATTGGAATCCTGCCACGCCAGATGGTGGAATTTGAATTCAATAAAATATCTGGAATTAATAATCTATTGATGACCATGAATCCATTGCTGATTGTTGGAAAAACCCACCTGGTTCACTAATGTTCTTTAGGGAAGGAAACTGCTATTATTACCTGGTCTGGCCTACATGTGGCTCCAGACCCACAGCAATGCAGTTGACTCTAAACTGGCCCTGGGCAATTAGGGTTGGACAATAAATGCTGCCTAGTGACATCCTCATCCCATTAATGAATAAAGGAAAACAAAATGCCTTCTTCACTACCCTGTATACCTGTGACTCCACTTTCAAGGAACTATGAACCTGCACTCCAAGCTCCCTTTGTTCGGCAACACTGCCCAGGACCTTCCCATTTAAGGTGTAAGTTCTGCCCAGATTTGCCCTACCAAAATGCAGCATCTCACATTTATATAAATTAAACTTCATCTGCTATGCTTCAGCCCATCGGCCCATCTGATCAAGGTACTCTGACTAATCCTCTTCACTGTCCACTGCGCCACCAATTTTGGTGTCATCTGCAAGCTTACTAACCATACCTCCTATGCATCCAAGTCATTTATATAACTGACAAAAATCAGTGGGCCCAGCACCAATCCTGTGGCACACCACTGGTCACAGGCCTTTAGCCTGAAAAGCAACCCTCCACCACCACCCTCTATCTCCTACCTTTGAGCCAGTTTTGTATCCAAATGGCTAGTTCTCCCTCTATTCTGTGTGATCTAACCTTGCTAACCAGTCTATCGTGCAGAACCTTGTCGAACACCTTACTGAAGTCCATATAGACCACATCCACCACTCTGCCCTCATCAATCCTCTTCATCACTTCTTCAAAAATTTCAGTCAAGTTGGTGGAACACTATTTCACACACAAAGCCGTGTTAGCTATCCCTCATCAGCCCATGCCTTTCCAAATACACTAAATCCTGTCCCTCAGAATCCCCTCCAACAACTTGCCCACCACTGATGTCAGGCTCACCAGTCTATTGTTCCCTGGCATTTCCTTACCACCTTCCTTAAATAGTGGCACCATGTTAGCCAATCTCCAATCTTCCAGCCATGGCTGTTGATTATGCAAATATCTCAGCAAGGACCCCAGCAATCACTTCCCTCGCTTCCCACAAAGT